CCTTCACACAATGCAAGTGCTATGTAAGTAAGTGACTGTTACATTGTATGATTCAGGAGTAATGAAAAATAATGGGGAAAGGAGACTGGAGAGATGGACCAGCAGTTAAAAGCACTTGCTCTCCCTACAGAGGACCCAGGCTCAGCATCCACATGGTGGGCTCACAACCATCTGCAGTTCTAGTTCCATGGTATCAATGTTCTCTCTGGCCTCTGCAGGCACCTGCACACATGTGGTGCACATACAGCCCCGCAGGCACAGATACATAAAATAGCAGTAAACAAATCTCTTTTAAACAAATAATGAGAAAAGACTTGGGCATACTTAGTTCATGCTCTTTATCCAGCATAAATTTTCTAACCTTGGTCGACAGGCTCAGAGGCTGTGAGCATGGAGGACTGTCAGACAAACAGCTGTGCTGCTTTGACAGACTGGCACACCATTCTGGTCTAATGTTCTCTCTGTATCCGAACAGCCTTATGGATATCCCATCAGACCAACCATTACAAAGCATGCTCACCCTTTTCAGACCATGCACAGATGTGCCACCAGCCATGTGGCCAACTGGTTCTCATAGGCACTGGGGATGCTCCTTTTTTTCTTTCTTTCTGAGACAGGGTTTCTCTGTGTAGCCCTGGCTGTCCCGGAACTAGCTCTGTAGACCAGGCTGGCCTCAAACTCACAGAGATCCTCCTGCCTCTGCCTCCCAACTGCTGGGATTAAAGGCGTGCGCCACCACTGAGTGTTGCTCTTGCCATTTTTACAGATGTGATACATACATGCTCTGTGCCCACTCATCTCTTGATTGCCTCCCTAAGAGTGGAATAAAGGTCAACGGGTGATCAGAGTTTGAGAACTTTTTTTCTGGGGTCCCTGATCTTGGACATAAAACCGAGTGGACTTATGGGAGAGAAAGATGAGGGTTCCCATGGAGGGAGCACCATGGATGTGATGGAGAAGACCTGATGTTCTTCTGGAGTACTCAGGGATAGAAGTCCCAGCAGAGCCTGGTTCTCCCTCACCCTGTCGCTGCCCCTGGGACACCCTTCACTCCCCAATGGGCACAGTGGTACCTGCCCTTAGCCACCCTCCAAAGCTCAGATCTCTGTAGTGTTCATCTTTCCTATTTTCAGGCCCGCAGAGAATGGTCCTTTGTGTCTGAACCCAGAGGGCTAAGATTCTTCCTCATTCTCAGATTATCCCCTTTGGAATTCCACCCATTCACCTGAGAGGACATATAGAGTGGGTAGGTCACTGACAGAATGGAGTGAAGGCTCTAAATTTAAGGACTGGGGTCACCCATGAAAGCAGGGTCACCAAAAGCAGCAAGGTCTAGGTCCCAATTGGATGATGGGGTGGACCATACCTGGGCTTTAAGAACCCTTGGGGGCTGTTCCAATATTTTGTTTTGTTTTTTTTTTTCAAGACAGGGTTTCTCTGTGGCTTTGGAAGCTGTCCTGAAACTAGCTCTTGTAGACCAGGCTGGTCTTGAACTCACAGAGATCCGCCAGCCTCTGCCTCCCTAGTGCTGGGATTAAAGGCGTGCACCACCACTGCCCAGCTCGGCTGTTCCACTCTTAAAGGTAGCACAGACTCCTACTTTTCTCCACTCTCAAATGCTCAACACCCAGCCCTGGCCTCCTGGCCTCCATCTGTCCACTTTGCCTTCCCAACCAGCACATTCTACCAGGTGTTGAGAGGGGCAGTATGGGGACAACTCAGCCACTCACAGTCCTCAGCTGGCCTAAGGGAACATTTTCATCCTTATCAGTGATTTACATCGCAGCCATGGGCCAAGCTTCACCCACATTCGGCAGGGACACAGAACCCAGCACTGGGGATGCAACGCCAAGCAGCCACCACCTAGGAGACATTTTGTATGACACTCTACTTCTAACGTGGTCAATTTGTTTCAATATTAAAATATTGATTTTAAAAATATTTCTTTTATTTCTGATTGTATGTGTGTGCATATGTGTGTGTACACACGGCTGCTCGTACCTCTGGAGGCCACAGGCTGGATTGATTCCCCGTTTTAAAAATATTTCTTTTATTTCTGATTGTATGTGTGTGCATGTGTGTGTGTATACACACGGCTGCTCGTACCTCTGGAGGCCACAGGCTGGATTGATTCCCCTGAAGATGGAATTATAGGCAGTTATGAACTACCTGATGTAGGTGCTGGGAGTCAAACTGGGGTCCTCTGTAAGAGGAGTAACAGCTCTTAACCACTGAGCCATCTCTATAGCCCCAAAGCATTTGTTTGGATATTTGCTACTGAGCAGCTGATACTCTGTAAGGACTCACCAGCCACCCTGCTACAGTTTCCCGCTCCATACCTACCCTGCCCTCCATGGAGGAGTTAGGGCTGACAGTCCCACCCCAACCCCCATATTCTCCCACCACACTCTATAATCCCTGAGTCCACACACTATACCATGTTCTGTGTAAATAGGGCCCTCAAGGCTGGGAGGGCCAGCTGTAGGATTGAGGCTTGGAAAACTGGATTCTGATATGGCTGCTGTCTGTGTGACCTTGAGTGAAAGCCACCGTCTCTGGGTCTGTAACAAATGGAAGTGGCAGGTGATTTTTGCAGGGCTGGGTAGTGTCTCTCAGTTCATACAGTGACACAAGTGACGGGAATTTTTGGCCAGATAAGAAGCTAAGAGTCACCAACAGAAGTAGAAACAAGGGTCTTGAACTTCCCTCAAATTCCAGCAGATGGGCGGTGCCCGTGCCCCATCACACCCACTGAGCCAGCCTCCTCCAGCATGAGGTGTCATGATGGAGACAGAGACTCTGTAGCTAACTGTGCTCCCACAGGACAGAGCTATCGCATGCCAGTCTGTAAGGTATCTCCAGGCTTCCTCAGCTCCTGGGCTGCTGCCTATGTGAAACCTGTCCTGCATAGCCCCAC